GTCTTACATTTACTACTTTAATGGTTCAGCACCGATTTCAGCAGATAGGAGACTTTGTTTGTGCTTGCGTTTTTGGGTGACAGTTGAAAAGCTGAGTTGTTCCTCGTGGCTGCTGGAGGGAATTCCGTTGCTGATTGGCTGTTGATCTGGCGCCTGATTGACGTTCTTTTGGGGAAGCCCTCGGTGGTGATTGGTTGGTTGCCTTGTGACGTAGGAGCTTCGAAAGTCGGTTGCCTTGGGAGTCTCGCTCGTGCTTTGTCGCACGGTCACCAAGGCGGAAAGCCCCAGTTCTAGAGAGAGAGAGAGCGAGCGAGCCACGAGGGCTTTGTGTCCATTTTTAAGCAGGCTGACTTCGGTCCATCCCACAGGTCGTTGTTCCAATCAGATAGTGGCTGCGGGGCTTAGCCACGCCCCATACTGTTCCTTTATCATGCATGAATCACATGCATGCAGTGGGGCGTATTCCTGCAAGTTTTAATAACTTCTTATAAAGTGTCGTACAACACACACTGTTCAAAATAACACATTTTCATTCATACCAAGGTTATTTAAATATCATGACCATTCCCACAAGCCCAAACTTCGCATATCTGGCATACACAGAGTACCTTTAAAAATGCCTGGGCCGATTTTTTGTCCCAGTCCAGCCCTGACCACAGATATCAGTTTTGTGTTCCCACAAAATCTTTGGACCTTCTGATGTACCTACTATTTTATTTCAGTGCTAAAAACTGTGATTGTGTGAATGTAAGTAAATCAGACATCTGCCCTCTGCTGGCTGGTTATATTAGAGACCCTGATACTTTGTCAAGGTCAACTTTATTATCCCCAAGAAGGCAATTTGTTTCTCAGCCAGCAGTAAACCATACAATCAACAAAACCAGCACCCACCACCACAACACAGACACAAACAAAGACTTCCGTTAATAATTTACATAAACATATTTGTAATTTAAAAGACTGATGGCAGCTGACATAAAATATATATATTTTAAATATATTAGTCCTACATAAAGGTAGATCATATCTACAAGTAAAGGGAAGCAACTTAAAAACATGCTGCAAACTTGTGTTCAAGTTTGAACTCCTCTGAACTTTTACATGCTTGTATATTTTAACAATATACATAATTAATTTCTGTAGCTTGCGTAATCTTTCTATGGGGGTGAATGAGTGTATCATCACTTTACAACACATCAGAGCTGATGAGATTCTTCTGGTTTGCTTTGGTTTGTTTATCATGCATCTTATTTTAAGAACTTGGATTTCAAAGTGTGCTTAAAATAATTCTATAGCTTCTGGTACTTTTTGTAGAAACTAGATGCTGACCAACTTTACTTCAGGAATCCACCACAAGGACTATGACTGACCGCACAAGGTAATCTCACATAAATGAACAGGCCTTCACGAGTGTTAATTCATGGTTTATTCATCAGTATTTGCATGCCTCATATCTGGTGAAGGATGCTAAAGACACAAACATGTATTCCAGCGCAGGAAAGAGACATTACTCTAATAGTGGTGCTCTGTACACCATGATTTCACAATGCTCTGAAAATCAAAACACTGACTGAATTATGATTGCTATCAGTTTCATACTCATAATGTGTACTTACTGTGCTTTCTTTTTACTTATGGTATTAGAGAAGAATCTGAAAATACTCAGAGATCACCCGTGACATGCAGTGAACTGTCCAAAATATGGTCGTTCATTTTGTTCATAACAATAACTGCATAATCAACAACAACAACAAAAAGGTTGACTAGTTTAGTGCTGCTAACCTGGAATTACTTTGACCTAAAATGGCAGTAGATTAACAATTGTGAAAAACTCATGCAAAGAAAACATACAAATGTTTGATTTTGTTTGTATTCTTAGTTATTAAATATAAATCTCACACTTGATTAAATTAAAATGAAAAATATATTAATGTAAAAAGCAGTATGTGGATAAGAAAAAATCTTTATCCATCTTAATGACTTGGCAAAAAGACAAGCATTATTTTGTTAGACAAAAAACATATTTAACTCTGTCAACCAAGTGCCAAATTACATTTTATGGTTTTATACTATTTATTCTATATTTTATACTATTTATTTAATTGCTGTGCATGTATAATGTAATAAATTTTAGGGCAGTTAACACTGAATTGTGTTAAACATGAGTGCTTACTGGTAAAAATGTTTTACTATATATTATAGATAGATTTGTTTGCAATTGTACAGATAATACAGTGCATAAGTATCTGTAAAGTCTTGCAGTCAAGCATGTGCATAAGCAGTTCACATTTCTTAAAGGGGTCTATGATGCTATTTTAAAGATCATTATTTTGTGTATTTGGTGTAACAGAATATGTTGACATGCTTTAATGTTCAAAAAACACATTATTTATCAAATACTGTACATTATTGTAGGTCCTCTATGCCTCGCCTCTCTCAAACACGTCGTTTTCAACAAAGCCCCTCTTTTGACAAGCGCAGTCTGCTCTGATTAGCCAGCTGAGATGAGCATGCGCAGTTCGATCACTTTTTTATATACAACGCCATTTTCATTTCTCCCACTTAATTTTCGAGTTGCCTCAAGCGGCGCCAGTTTATTCCATCATTGTGATCGCTCCGGTAAGTGTCGTTCTATGTGTATCAATTCACGATATGATTTAAATAAAATTTGTTCACAATATGCGCTTCTGTACAACATAGGTGGTGGCAAGTTAGTCAGTTCAATTTTCCCGCCTGGTCTTATGAGTTGCCTCAGGTCAGACGGCGCCAATTTTTTTTCTGACCGACAGTGTAATCGCTCCGGTAGGTGCTGTTCTATATATAATATTTACCATAAGACTTGAATTATGTTTGTTCAAAATATGTGCTTTTGTACACCGTATTTTCTTTCGGTTTAGAGTTGCCTCAGGCGGTAACGTTAGTCCATCATTGTTATCACTCAGGTAAGTGGTGGTTCTTTGTGTATCAATTTAAGATATGATTTGAATGAAATTTGTTCACAATATGCACTTCTTTACAACGTAGGTGGCTTCAAGTGAGTTTAACTTAACGTTAACATAATTGCTCCGGTAGGTGCTATTCTTTGTATAATAAATTACGGTAAAATTTGATTTTGATTTTTCAAAATATGTGGTTGTACAGACGTGGACTTCGAGTTGGCTCAGGCGGTGCCCATTTAGTCCGTCAATGAATGTGATCACATGGTAAGGTTTTTTTTTTTATGTGTAACGTTATCAGTTTTTACGATATGATTTGAATGAAATTTGTTCACAATATGCGCTTCTGTACAACGGTGTAGGTGGCGGCAAGTTAGTTCAATTTTCCTGCTTCGTCTTCGAGTTGCCTCGGGTCAGACGGCGCCAGTTTTTTTTCCGACAGTGCAATCGCTCTGGCAGGTACTGTTCTATGCAGGCTATGATAATAATTTACAATAAGATTTGAATGGTATTTGTTCACAATATGTGCGTCTGTACAACTGCTTAACGTTAGGTGACTCCAAGATGGTCAGTTCAACTTCTGCTTCGTCTTCGAGCTGCCTTAAGTCATACGATGCCAGTTTTTTTCCC